TCTCCAGCACCTACATAAAAAACTGGGCATGGCTGCAAGTTTCAGTATCTGGCTGGCAGAGACAGGAGGACCCAAGAACTCATTGACCAGGCAGTCTAGCCCAAAAAAAGCATGCTTTTTGTTGAGTAAAATAACATGTTTCAGGGAAACAAGGGGAAGAGCAATAGAGGAAGACATTGATATCCTGCTCTGACCTCGAAAAGAGGAAGACAAATGTAACATGCTCTGATGTCCAAATGCCTGTGGGAGGGACCAGCACACTGTTCTTTAGGCAGTACATCCATATACCAAACACCATACACACAGAGGGAGGCAGGGTGGCCAGGGGAAGAAGAGGCCAGGGGAAGAAGAGACTGGTACACTCAGTTTAAAGCATAAAGGCTGTCAACAGTAGTTTTTAATAGTGTATCAATTTTGTTGTTGATTGTTTGAGACAAGGTCTTGCCATATAGCCTTGACTGGCCTGAACTCCCTATGTTGACCATGCTGGCCTCTAACTTGCAGGAAACCTCCGTCTCTGACTCTCTTGTTCATAGTGTACTTTTAATTATCTTCCTAATGTCCATGGTTTCTGTACTGACAGCTTCCTCTTCCTAAGGTCTTTGTGATTAGGTTCATTTCTGATTTTTTTTCCTTAGTTGGGCTGACTAGAGACATCAATTTTACTGGCCTTTCCAACGTAGCCTCTGTTTATGGTCTTTCTCTATTAATTTCCTGACTTTACTCTCACTGGTATTCTTTCAAATTTCTGCTGTTTCTGTTCTTCTTCTGTTTTCTTTGGATTTAACTGCTCCTTCTTTCTACTCTGAAAAAGTGGGAGCCTTGAGTTTTGGTTTTCAGTCTTCCTTTCTCACCTGCACATCTAGCGCTAGAACTTTCCATGCGGCTTTTCCTGAATTTTACACATTTCAAGTTGTGCTTTCACTTGACTCAAAATATTTTCTAATATCCTTTGAGCTTCCACTCTGAAGCCTACATTATTAAAATGCATCTTGTGATCTCCAGCTACTCGGGAATTTTCCAGATATCAGTGATTCATCTTACTTTTTTCTCCCTCCTCCCCCTCCTTTTTCTTCATTTTTCAAAGGTAAGGTCTCTTATAGTTAAGACCCAAACTCTCTATGTAGTCAAGGATGACTCTGAAGTCCTCATCCTCTTGTCTCTACCTCCTAAATACTGGGATAAAAAGCATGCATTACTATGCCTGTTTTATTGCTCTTGGTGATTCATATTTTAATTTAATTTATCCATAGCCTGAGATATACATTGCATGATTACTATTTTTAAGTGTGTTAAGGTGTTTTATAGCCTAGAATGCATTATATCTTATTGGATGTTCCATGTAACTTAGAAGAGTGTTTATATTGCTGTCCTTGACAAAACTGCCATGTCTAGTTGATTTATAGTTCTACTGACTTTGGCTATCTCCTTTATGTTATCTGCAAATAGACCTGCTGATTTCTGATAAGAGTACTTTGGTGCCCAGCATCTCTTTCTCCCTGTCGTTTTATTCATTTGGCCTCATGTATATATCAATGCTCTGTTGTTTTTCAGGATACATAAGGATTATTATATCTTCTTGAAGAATCTTCTATCCTATCAACTACAATACTCTTGTAGTGGCATCTTGTTCCAACAGTGAACTTCGGGTGGTAGCCACATCCTAGTGGTGTGGCTTCAGGTGTGCCTACTTGACCCCTTATAAGGAAGAGGGGAGGCTGGTTCCCTCTCTTGGGTTATGGTTGAAGCATCTGTAAGGGCAGACATTGCATCTTCAGGATCGGGAAGACCTTGGCTTGTGTGAGTGTTCTCCTTATAAATACCTGTTAATCACTTATCTGGGTTTTGTGGACTTCCTTAAACCCTCCATCATACTCTTCTTCATTCCTCTTAATTTTTCCTTGCTTTAAAGAGTGCTCTGTCTAAAAATAAATAGAACTATTTTATCTTCGCTTGATTAATATTAAGATGAAATATCTTCCCTTTTACTTTTAATCTATATAATTCTTTGTTGACTTATTATGAATGGGCTATTGCTTGAACTAAGAAATATGTCATTTATTAGCCAGGCAGAGGTGGTGCATGTCTTTAGTATCATCACTTGGGAGGCAGAGAGACAGTCAAATCTCTGAGTTCGAGACTATCCTGGTCTACAGAGTGAGTTCCAGGATGGCCAGGGCTACACAGAGAGATCCTGTCTCAAACAACAACAACAAATATGTCACAATGTCAGTACATGCATGAACTTCAAATTTAACATAAACACTGCATGTATGACTATATAAGAACATTATAAAACCAGAACCAAAATCTACCTAACAATCTAATCTACCCACCATCTTAAGTGGGGAAAAAAAGTTGCTGAAAATTCAAGTAGCAGAAGAGGGCAGTAAAACTCAACAGAATGTTCTCAAAGACATAAATATACTTTCTTATTTTCCTTTAGAATTTCTCAAAAAAATTCAGACACTAACAAAATATATTTTGTATAACAGACACATATATGTACCCAAATGTACAGAGAAACACTAAATTTCTACACAACTTACAGCTATAGTTGCCACACAATAACCATTTTACTGAGGTACATCATTACCATTGTTCTTTGCTAAAAGAAACAGGCTAAACATACTGATTTGGAGGCATTTTATATCCTCCTGTAATCAGTATTCAAAATATACCCGTGTATTTCACTCTAGCATCCCAGATGCGTTCTGAAGTAAACAATTACAAAATGTTTTCCCTTACATCCTTATTTGGACTTCCTTTCAAAACTGCTCTTGTCTTCAAGGTTCAAGTTTCTTCCTGAATTCTTGTGTAACTCAACAGCTACACGGAGCTCTCTTTATACATTTGAAGTTACAGATTAAATCAAGTAATTGAAACATACACATTTCTAAATCAAATTCCCCGTTATGATTGTGTTCTAATGTCTTTCCATTTCAAACAGTCTTAATGTGACTATTCTCTACGCCCTGTTTTCCCCTCACTTTTGAATTCATAATCTTTCTATTTTTATTTTTTAGGGACAGCATTTCTCTGCGTAGAACCGGCTCTCCTGAAACTTGCTCTGTAGACCAGGCAGGCCTCAGGGTCATCCTCCTGTGCCTCCTGAGTGCTGGGAATCAAGGCCAGCACCACAGTGTACTGCTTTTTCTCATGTCACAATCTTTAGAGCATCAGAATACACTTCTCTACATAGCAGCTATACAGCTAACATCACAAGAGGGTGGGAGTGTTAGAAATCAGTTCAGCAATGAGGGATGCAGTCTCAGCCTGGACTCCCAGGGGAGCGTCCAGGCCCTGCCCTGGATGAAATGACAGACTATGGACACCCCTGTGGAGGGCCTCACCCTCCCTGGGGAAATGAGGAGGTGTTGAGGGGGTTGGTGCGGGGTCATGGGTGGAGGGGAGGGAAAGGGAGAGGGACCTGGAATTTATATGTGAAGCAACCTTGTTTCTAATTTAAATTTAAAAATTAAAATAAAAAAAGAAATCAGTTCAAGATTACACTGTGAGATTTGAGGACACTGTCGAGATCTAGAGTTGGAATCCGCAGCTCTAGTAAAGTTAGCTTTAGCACAGGCAATCCACTCAAAAGAAAACAGAAACCAAGAACTATTTAGAGGAATTACCAAAACATGAAATTTCACACAGGAATCGGTGTAAAAGGTTGGGAGTGCCAGAAATGGAGTGATTAAACATGACTAGAACAAAGAGCTGGATGACATGGAATTTTAGTCACTATGTCTCATGTAGAATCAAATTAGCACACACATGAAGCAAACCATTGAAAAAAATTCCATGAGTATTTTTAATCTCTCCAAGACTTCCACAGATTGAGGTATTTGGTGTAGTTTTCTAAATGGTGTTTTTCATGGGTTTTCCCCTCATTGCTTTCCCCTGTCTCTTTAAATTTTTGTTTGGTTTGTTTGAGCTGGGGTCTTGTGTTGTCCAGCCTGCCTCAAACCATTTTCCTGAGCGAATAGTTTAATTTCAGACTGTGTGTCCTGTTTTCCTCCATTCATGCTAAAGACAACAACATTTCAATTGATTTCTTTAGTTCCTAACTTTCTTATTTTGCTTGTTTTTCACTATTCCATCCTTACATATCCTTCCCTGGCCACCACCAAAAAACAGAATGACATTCAAAACTGTCAAAAATCACCTTTCTATGCAATTAATTTCTTATCAATGTTTCCGAATGAATAGGGGTTTGGAGGTTAGCCAGAATAAAGCCAGTTATGGAAACGTAGGTATTATCTTTGACCCATTGCCATAACACAACTTCTTGAAGATCGTGAACAGAAAAAGGCAAAAAAGTACCTCTTAAAAAAAAAAAAGAATTCTTTTTTAGTGGTATATCCTGTGAAAAGAGTTGCTGACCGAAATGATAAAAGCATAACAGCAGGGAGAGGAAAAAATACCTTATGGCAATGCCGTGGGCACTTAGCATTCCGATGAAGTGAAGCTCAGAATCTGTCCCTTGGAACTGGAGGGCTAGGACTGAGGAGCCTGGGGGCAGTTCTGACAGACTTTACCCTACCCCCACCAGTACGGATGTGGACCCTGACAGCAGCCCTTTCACTTCATTAAAAATAGAATAAGTTAAATAAAAATTTTTAAGCGGTGGCTGTGTGCGCGCTCTGAGCAGCACGCACGTCAGACCGCCCCAGCCGGGGGGCGGCGCGGGGATTCCCTGCGTTCCGACCTCGGATCCGGGAGGGGAAACGTGACATCCAGCGCTCCCGGTTGCCACCTGGATCACTGGATACGGGACTGGGAGGAACCCAGGGACCCCAAAGAGAGCCAACGTGGGTGCGCGCACAGGAACCGCTCGGGGCGCCAGGAGGGATGCGAGAGGGCGGCGCAGTTCTCTTGGCACCACCTGGGGCAGCCGAGCGCAGCTTCCCGGCTTCCCTCGTCTCCGTTTGCGTGGGTTACAGCCCTGCCCCCACCCGCCTTGCGCAACTCCCCGAAGCGGAGGAGGTGGGGGAAGGCTATTGGGGGTAGGCGAAAGACTGGGCGGAAAGAACCAGTCACCACATGGTCACGTGGGGGCTCTTTGCAGGCATAAAAGCGAGGTTCTCCCCGTTAGCAGCCAGTTGTCAAACTGCGAGCAGAGAGCTCCAGGAGTGTCAGAAGACTGTCCACGAAGGAACTCGGTGCTGCGTCCCGCCAGCTCAGCCACCTCCGACACCGCCGCCACCTCCGAGATGCTCTTCCGAGCTGTGCTGCTCTGCACCGCTCTGGCGCTCAGCCATGCAGGTGAGTGGCCCCGCGCACTAAGGCGCCCCCACGATCTCCAGCGCAGACCCCTTTTTCTAGTGCAGGGACCGCTCAGTGGCAAAGAGCCTGGACCACTTGGGTCAGGAGGAACCGCAAGGATGGCTTGCTTTTGCCACTGGCTCTCAAGTTATGCGGAGCAGAGAGCTACTCTCATCTGCAAAAGCCTAATAGCCATAATAGTTTGCAGGTTGTCTGTGTAAGATAAAATATGATCAATACATGTGCAGTGCATGTTTGGGGACGACTGAGTAGGAATGATTACTTTAAATACCTGCCGGTGTTTTTCTGCCCCCAAGAAAGTTCAGAATACATTTAAAAAAGATATTCAAAATGTTAAAAGTAAACTGTTTTACTTTGGTTTTCCTTACATTAAATTTTAATTAACGTACTAGATCGATCCATTTTAATTTCGAAAGTGCTACTTAAGAGTTCTAATCAGAACATTTAAGAAATTACTGTGAAATGTTAATAATGTGAGCTATGATGTTAGGTCCTCTACTTTTCTTGCCTAGAAAAAGAAATTGCAAATTCTACATTACAGTCACTTGATGAGACAGACTTAATTAAAACAGCCCCCCCACTACCTGTGTATTCTAAGTTACCAGTGTAAACTTGACCCATAGTAACAATTAAATCTTTAAGTTAAGATGAGGATGACAAGAGTGACTGACAGGCTGTCTTATTATTGTTTTTTTTTTTTTAATGTAGCAAATCCTTGCTGTTCCAACCCCTGTCAAAACCGAGGTGAATGTATGAGCACAGGATTTGACCAGTATAAATGCGACTGTACTCGGACAGGATTCTATGGTGAAAACTGCACTATACGTAAGTTTCCCCTGAGCTTTCTTCCTTTGGAATGGAACCACATACAGTTACCATCATTTTATATATTTGTGCCCTGTGGGGAGTCTCTCCTAATTTCTCCCCCCACCCCTGCTCTCTCTCCAGCCGAGTTTCTGACAAGAATTAAATTGCTGCTGAAGCCCACCCCAAACACAGTACACTATATCCTGACCCACTTCAAGGGAGTCTGGAACATTGTGAATAACATTTCCTTTCTTCGAAATTCAATCATGAGATACGTGTTGACATGTAAGTACAAACTCCCTGCTTCTAGGATCCTCCCACAAAAATATGCACTAGAAACCCAACCCCAAGATATATTCCCAACCTTTTCAACCCCGCATCCCCCCCCCAAAATGCCCACAATATTGACATGTGAGACTGTAGCCAGGATCCTATTTACGACCCCCAACCTTCACTCCTGTGGAGAAAATGTGCTCCCCTTGTTTATGGAGTACCTATGGCTCCCAGAATTGTTTTGAACATGCATCACCCTTTAAAGCAAATGGTGGATTCAGCTTTGGGTCAGAAGAGAAAATAACTTTCTATAGTTCTAAGTGAGGGCCATGCCCAACTGTATCAGTCATCAGCTATGGAACAGGGAGTGGGTGGTACCTGAAAAGTCAAGACTACTGGAGCATAAGGTCCTGGGCAAAGCTTAAGCTTCATTGAAGACACATTTCCAGGTGCCCTTTCAAGTGTAGTCATTGTAAAGCAGGGTGTCTTTGTCTGAATGAAAGCCAATCTCTGTGCCTTCCACACTGTACAATGATAATTAACATTCCCTGTTTTTTTCATATCAGGGCCAATAATTTTTTTTCTTTAAAATTCCAGCCAGATCACATTTGATTGACAGTCCACCAACTTACAATGTACACTATGGTTACAAAAACTGGGAAGCTTTCTCCAACCTCTCCTACTATACCAGAGTCCTTCCTCCTGTGGCTGATGACTGCCCAACTCCCTTGGGTGTGAAAGGTGAGTGAGAAGAAACAGAGATGTAGCAATTGCAGTGATGGTTGGGTGTGCATTTTAAAAAGGTACCTTAGATTGTCATTTACTTACTTAGTACGTAACTTAGTATGACTATCCACAGAGGATTTTTAAAGTGCCTACTCTGTAAAAGTAAATCTTCACTTTGATATAATGTCTTAACATTAGCATATTGTGCTAAATAGAATTGGCGTTAGTTAAAAATGGTAAAACTGTTCAATAAGATGTTCCCCAATTCTTGTACTCTTGGCTCATTGACTGTAATCTCAGCATTAGACTGACCAGGTAAAGATTCATCAGTAAGCTCAAGGCCAACTTAGGATAGAGAGGGAGTTTGAGTAGTGTGGAGTACAAGCATATGACTGTGCCTCAAAGCAAAGCAAAACAACTTTATTGGTCTTACAGTCCTCCTTGAGACTATGTTTCTAAGTGACCAATGCTCTCGTGAATTAGACAGTCATCTGTTTGCTTTAACAAATGTATGAATGGGTTTTTACTTTAGAGTTTTCATGTTTCAGGAAATAAGGAGCTTCCTGATTCGAAAGAAGTTCTGGAAAAAGTTCTTCTCAGGAGAAAGTTCATCCCTGATCCCCAAGGCACGAATATGATGTTTGCATTCTTTGCCCAGCACTTTACTCATCAGTTTTTCAAGACAGATCAGAAACGAGGACCTGGCTTCACCCGAGGACTGGGCCATGGGGTAAGATAGGCTTAACTCAGAATCAAAGTAAATCCTTAGGAAATGCTGACGCCTTGCCATGCCAAACAAATCATACACACCCATCTTTTATACAAATGTCATGTCTACTAAAGCCATAGTAGAGTGTGGCTTTAAACAGAATTCACAGAGATATGTTAATGTATACTTTCCTTACATATTTAGTTTAAAATTTTGATCTACAAAAAATGCTGCGTTTTTCAAAAATTAATTAACTAATTATTGGTAACACTGGGAAGTGGCCTTAGAACTTGGTGATTGTTAGGCACTGTGCTCTGCCATTTGAGGTACAGGCCCATCACTCCAAAAAAAATAGCTGCACCATGACTACGCTGCTTAAAATAATATAAAAATAGCTATCATGGTTATAATGAGGCATGCACCGTATTTAATATAAGGTACTAATATCATTCAACATAAATAGATTTACAGGGGTGAGTTGAGGGGAGACAGAAGGGAGTTAGGGAAAAAGAACAGAAGGAGAGGAGGGAGGGATGTAAAATAAATAAACTAATTAATAAAAAAGAGGCATGCAGGCTTGTAGCACTGAATGACAATATTTTAGTATTTTGTGATGATTAAAAAGCCATTTGTTGGGCTTGGGATAACTCAGTGTTTAAGAACACTTATTGTTCTTGAACAGGAACCAGCTTAAGTTCCCAACACTCACACGGAGGTTAAAGCATCTATCTCTAGAGCCAGTCAGTTCTAGAAGATTTAATGCCTCCTTCTGACCTCATTGGGCACCAGGCATGTACATGATGTATATAGGTGCATATAGGCAAGCACTCACACATATAAAAATAAAATAAATCTAAAAACGTCACTTGTTGAATTTTAAAGGCAACTAAGTCATAATAATTTAGTAACAAATGCTAGACATTAGTAAATTGAAATTTCTCCATAACCTTCTAGGTGGACTTGAACCACATTTACGGTGAAACCCTAGAGAGACAACATAAACTGCGCCTTTTCAAGGATGGAAAATTGAAGTATCAGGTATTTTCCTTACATTATAGGAATTATCACCTGCCGTTTTCACTTACATTTTAAAACGGCTGGTTGTGTGTGTTTGTGAGTTATTTTAACTCTCTGCTATTATTACTGTTTTGGTTTAGGTCATTGGTGGAGAGGTGTATCCTCCCACAGTCAAAGACACCCAGGTGGAGATGATCTACCCTCCTCACACCCCTGAGCACCTACGGTTCGCTGTGGGGCAGGAGGTCTTTGGTCTGGTGCCTGGTCTGATGATGTATGCTACCATCTGGCTGCGAGAGCACAACAGAGTGTGTGATGTGCTTAAACAGGAGCATCCTGAGTGGGACGATGAGCGGTTATTCCAGACAAGCAGACTCATACTGATAGGTGAGTAGGAGAAAATCAGTAATCTCCCCAAAGAAAAAGAAAACTTCACGTGTTGTGGTTGCTATGTTTTGACACACTGTTGTGAATAGTGAGAATGAACATGACTGCTAGCATATCAACCATTTGATCGTTAGGAAAACAGACTCTCTTGTGTTGTCCAACAGGAGAGACTATCAAGATCGTGATCGAAGACTATGTGCAGCACCTGAGCGGCTACCACTTCAAACTCAAGTTCGACCCGGAGCTGCTTTTCAACCAGCAGTTCCAGTATCAGAACCGCATTGCAGCTGAATTCAACACACTGTATCACTGGCACCCCTTGCTGCCCGACACCTTTCAAATCGAGGACCAGGAGTACAACTTCAAACAGTTCCTCTACAACAACTCCATTCTCCTCGAGCACGGACTCGCCCAGTTTGTTGAGTCATTCACCAGACAGATTGCTGGTCGGGTAAGCATCATCCTAAAAAGCAAGAGCAAGCGGGTCAGTGGCTTTAGGATTTCTGTCATAGAGATAACTTATACTATAAGGATAACCAGATGTTCTACTGGTTCTTGAAAATGAAGCCTAGGCAGTTTTTGAAAGGCTATAGTTTTAATCTACAGTTATCAAGCAAATAACAAAACATTATCTTAAAACTAATATTTTAAATAGCTTGCAATCATCTGACAGATTATAGAAGTAAATACTCAGACTTGTGTATCAGCTTACTTTTTGTAATTGTAAAAGACAAGTTCTTTACAGACTAGAGGTATTGACGGTGTTGACGTCAAGACATAGGACAACAGGAATATGCCTAAGAATCGCATTTTATTATTCCCTTTCCTCAGGTTGCTGGGGGTAGGAATGTTCCAGTTGCAGTAAAAGCAGTGGCAAAGGCCTCCATTGACCAGAGCAGAGAGATGAAATACCAGTCCCTCAATGAGTATCGCAAACGCTTCTCCCTGAAGCCTTATACATCATTTGAAGAACTTACAGGTGAGAGATTGTTTCTGAAATTCTTAAAAGGATCAAGGATTAAATGGGGAAAGAGAAGATGAGAGAGAATTTGATAAGGGATGAGCCTCCTCCTCTCCCTCCTCCTTCTTCTCTCCTTTTTAAGGACTCAGTTTATTGAGGAGGGGTGAGCATGGGAGTGGGCTAGTGAGCAGGGAAAAGCCTATGCTTGAAAGCTGGAACTATTTTGTCCTTTTTCTAGTTTGACATTGCCTGTATCTCTGTCTTCTTTACCTTCTAGGAGAGACAGAAATGGCCGCAGAGTTGAAAGCCCTCTACAGTGACATTGATGCCATGGAGCTGTATCCTGCCCTGCTGGTGGAAAAGCCTCGTCCAGATGCTATCTTTGGGGAGACCATGGTAGAACTTGGAGCACCATTCTCCTTGAAAGGACTTATGGGTAATCCCATCTGTTCTCCTCAGTACTGGAAGCCAAGCACTTTTGGAGGAGAAGTGGGTTTTAAGATCATCAACACTGCCACAATTCAGTCTCTCATCTGTAATAACGTTAAGGGCTGCCCTTTCGTCTCCTTCAGTGTGCACGATCCGCAGCCTACCAAAGCAGCCACCATCAATGCAAGTGCCTCCCATGCCAGACTAGACGACATCAACCCCACAGTGCTCATCAAAGGGCGTTCAACTGAGCTGTAGAAGTCTACTGGTCATATTTATTTATTTATATGAACAATTTAATTTAATTATTTAATATTTATACAGAATGCCCTTTTCACTTAACACCTTCTGTAACAGAAGGCAATGTCCTGAATGATGTTACATTTGTGAAGATTCCTGTGTTTGTACTTGGAATATATGTTGCCCTCGAGTGAAAGAGAAAAACGGCTTTCACTCTTTTATGTAAACCAATGGGAAATGATTTTTGATATTTTTACTTGAATTTTAGCTCATATTATATCTTAATAAGAGCAAAGGAAAGATGTTTGAATACTTAAATGCTGTTACAACATGACAGATGCTGCAAATGTCTACACTGTTGATTATGACTGTATCTTCCTAGCTACGTTAGGAGCAGCTAATGTGGAATTTTAAAGAAATCTTGCATATCTATATCTCATTAAACAAAAGGGTACCAGCTAAGCTTTCAATGACCATTTACGGCAGATACTGCCAATGAGTTCATTTAAAAAAGCAGTCTTAAAATGAATGATTTGAAATTTCTAAATGGAGAGCTTGAATCCCTTTTGAATGCTCTCACTTTCTTAAGCTGTTAATTTTGGACCCATCCCAATAAAACAGCTATCATAAACACAAATCTCTCAAATTAGTAGAAATTACATTATGATTAGTGGTTAAAAACTATGTCAGGGATTTTTTTTCTCAGTAGGAGTGAAATGCTACTTACTGTGGTGGTGAGACCTTCCTTATAATTCAAGATGCCAGTATAGGAAGAGGGTAGAGCTCCTGCTGTTCTAGTTTAAGAGTAAGATCTTTAAAGAGTTTGATTATATGAATAGTAGCAAGCAAATCTTCAACAATGAAAGACTTACAAATAAAATAACCAAGGACAAAGGATTCCCAATTAAAGATCACATTTGGGGTTACACTTCTGAAGGAGACGTTTTGATCCTTGTGTGATGCTGGCATGATACTCAACAGGTTTTTGCTGTGAGAATAATGACTTAGCAAGCTGGACTTAAACCATTTTTCTCTTGTACAGTATGATACAACAGTCCGTCTCTCAATGCCAAATGTATCAGTGGCCTTGTGAGCTTCTTCCAAGTGTTGAAATTTATTCTTGCTCATTCTATATGAAGTGCAGAGGGACCTGTGCACTGTGTGAGTCCAGCTTGGATGCCAGCACGCTGCTCCTCTTATTTCTTTTTCTTGTCACCATTTTACTATGAGAAACTGCTGATGATTTTTTCTTTGCTGTTTTCTAGGGTTGGGATTTTTCTTTGCTGTTTTCCAGGTTTTTAATATCAGGTCTATTCTCTCTTTAACCTCTATTAATGTTTTCTCTACTTGAAATTTTACATTCAGGACAACCTCAGCTCAGGACTACTAGGTACTCCCCTTTGGAGGAGTAAGTTCACTTTAGGTGAAAGGCAGAAATTTTTACTTATAATTAACTATACTAGAGGACCCTATCAAGATATGAGTGCCTTATATGGAAATGTAGGGGGTTTGTAACAAGAAAGTTACATTCTTGTTGTGAAGAATGGCTTTCTTACTTACAAACAAGGTCAGTTAGTGAGTAGTTCTGGGCAATAGTAGTAAACATAAAACAATACTGAAGATAATTCTACATCTCATTATCAGCTGAGGTACTGTATATTACTTAATTTATTGAGGATAATTATGTCTTTTAGACATTATTGTTATAAACTATGTTTAAGCCTACAAGTGTTTGTTTTTGATTTGTGTCAGAATCAATGTACCTTTTTTTGTGATTACCTCTCTGAAATCCTGTGTAAACAATCAAACAAAATGATGAGATTAATGTTTGTAGATAAATTTTAAGAAAATTAGTCTGGTATATTGAGAGGTTTAAAGATGGAATTTATCCATAGAGCATACTGCAGAGAACATTGTCTCACCGAAACGTGTTATAAAGACTGACATCTTAGACATTTTGAAGGCCCTGTAGGTGCTCTATTAACTAGTCAAATTAAGAAATTGTCTTCAAAGCACTATAGGCATTAGTATCCATGGATCAAGAACTTATTACAGATAATATTTATGTAAATAACTGAAAATGTGTCTTATTAAGAGAAAGGAAAGATTTATTTTATTACAAATAATTACAAAATATTCTAAAGATTATATGCTTTTCATGATTAAGATGGAAAAATAATCAGCTTTAGAAAAAACTGTATAAAGATTGTTACTGTCACTGATTTTTTTTTAATCAAGCCAACTTGATTGTTTTGAACATGAACCTGCTGACTGAACCTGGAAATTCAGGTTAAGTGTGTGTCTGTTACAGTGCCTGAGAAAAATGTGTATTTAAATTAACTTATGTAAAAAAGAAGTCTTAGAACAAATGTTTGTTTATTTTTATACTATTTAAGAATTGAAAACTTCTGAAAATAAAAGTTGATTGTTTCTTTATCTTTTTGCATGGCATTGATTTCTCTGAGTGATGAACCTTAAACCATTGTTTTGTGTTCCTTTATCTATAATAGGAGTGAAAGGTAACATTAGTGGTGTAGAGTGATTGCCTGGCATTTAGGAGGCCCTGGGTTCTATCTTCCACATTGAAGAAGAAAAATCAAGGCTGTCCTTGATAAAATGACCCTGCCGTAGGTCCCATGAACTCATCTGAGAGTCACTGCTTATTATCTCAGTTGCTGAAGAACTGTTACAAGGTGTGTTTTGTGCTATAGGAGACACCAACAGGCTTGCTTTCATTGCCTAATCTAGAAGTGAATACAATATACAAAAGGCAGAATGGGCAAGGTGGGATGGCTCAGTGTGTAAAGCTGTTTGCCCCCAACCCTGATGACTTGGATTCCATCCCTGAAATCCACATGGTGGAAGGAGACAACTAACTCTCGTGAGTTGTTCTCTGTCTCTCTCTCTCTCTCTCTCTGTCTCTCTCTCTCTCTCTCTGTCTCTCTCTCTGTCTCTCTCTCTCTCACACACACACACACACAGACACACACACATACACACACACACACAAATATAAAAGTATTTTTTTTAAAAAGACAAAGATTTGTGTTACAAAGGAGGTACAAAATATGAAAAGAAAGTTCAAAGGAAAGAGAGATGGAGGGAGGAAGGGAAAGAAAAGAGAGGAGAGAAGAGAAAGAAAATGGAAGTCAATCAGCATGCTGGTATACTTTCATTCCAACACTCAAAAGACAGGTGAGTGGATCTCTGAGCTTCAGGCCAGCTGGGGTTACACAGTGAGACTCTGTCGAAACAAAGCAAAATACCAAAAAAAAAGCCAAGCAAGCAAAAAACAAACTCCACAGGCCACATATTTCATGCCTTTGCTAACCTCTCTGGCCCTTGGTGTTCTCCTTCCCTGTGATACTTTTTCCCATCATATTCCTGTGCCCCGACCCCTCATCACCATCACTTGCTGTGCCATTTCGAAGACCTTGATTTTCATCCTGCTCCTTGACTTACCTATAGTTCAGGCTGCCTATTGAGTGTCAGAGCCTAACATCTGACTTAAGTGTGCACTGAGCCTACTGCTGACCCATCAGTATCATCATGTCGTTATTGACCACCCAATTTTATCCTTACTTCTTTCTGCATCTAACTTAGATTCTATTGCTCATAATCACTCTCCATCTGTTCACTCTCCTACTGTACTTTTCTATTCACCTAATTGGAACAATTTACTTTCAGTCATTCAATGACTTCCCTCCCTCCTTCTCTCCCTCCCTCCTTCCCGTGTGTGTGTGTGTGTGTGTGTGTGTGTGTGTGTGTGTGTGTGTGTGTGTGAGAGAGAGAGAGAGAGAGAGAGAGAGAGAGAGAGAGAGAGAGAGAGAGATCTCACTGTATAGCTTTGGCTTGCATAAAACTCTAAATAGATCAGGTTTGTCTCTCTCAGAGATATATCTATCTGCCTACACCTCTGAGTCTCTGAGTTTTGGAATCAAGGGCATTAGCTATCATGCCCATATACATGTTTTTTTTTTCATGGTGCTTGCTTTGTAGTTCTTTTTGTTGTTGTTGTTGTTGTTTGTTTGTTTGTTTTTAAGATAAGGTCTCACATGGCAGCCCAGGGTGACAACCAGCTCACACAATCCTACCTCAACTTCCTAAGTGTTGGCTCTACAGATATTAGCTCCAGCGTCTGGCTTAACCTCTTCTATACTCAGCTCTTCAGCTCTTCAGGAGCATTCAACCCAAGGGTTTGTCTATTGTTTACACACACACAACACACACACACACTGTGGCACACAGTTTGCTATTCTCCTGGTCTTTTGCATTTGCAAAGAATACCTCTGTTCCTCTGCTGTATCTGTAAGTTGGCATACTATAATACCTTTCATGTTTATTGCACTGAAACTCTTAAGTTCAAACAATAATCACTCATAGGTTTTATATTTAATTGCTGATTTATATTTTAATCAGCTATTAGCAACCATCCACTAAAATTTACAAATGTAATCATTTACTTTCCATCTCTGCCTAAGCAACACAAGCACCATATAATCCAAACAATAATTTCTAAAGTTAATTAGATAATTACCATCTTCTAGTTTAAGCAAAACCCTTTTCTCCTCTCTCATACTTGCTCTAGTGGCAAACCTATCGATGGCATCCCACAAACAAATAAGAATTCTGTCACTTTCCTCCCCAACCCCGCCTGTGTCAACCTAGACAGTCCCTCTTTAGTCTTCCTTTTGTCTAAAACACTCTTCTTATGGTAATGAGAGTATGTGTTTTTAGAAGTCAACCTAACCATGGCTCTCCTATGTCTGAAAACTTCCAGTGACTTCTTACTAAACAAGAATATGAGCTTCTTATCCCCTTATTTATTAGCACCTCAATCATTCACTGAACTCATCCACTGTGCATCCCTTACTTGTATTTCATTTTTTGTTGTCATGACAAAATGCTTGAGACTGGCTAATTTGCTCCTGGCCCTGGAAGCTAGGGTCCAAGGCTGTGATGCTTCTGGTAGAGTGCCTCTGCCTCATATGTATCAACGAATGCAGGAAGACTGGGCAAGCAGACTGTGGAACAACGAGAGACATGGCTAAGTGTAGCTAATTCATGGTGGAGTAGGGAAGTACATTAATCCCTTTTGATGGTAGAACCCCTATGATCCAGAGAACTTATACTCAACCACCTTGCAATAATGTTTATAGCCAATTATATATATATATATATATATATATATTTTTGGTTTTATGAGACAGGGTTTCTCTATATTGTTTTGGAGGCTGTCGGTCCAGCCTGGCCTCGAACTCACAGAGATCCGCCTGCCTCTGCCTCCCAAGTGCTGGGATTAAAGGCGTGTGCCACCACCGCCCGGCCTAATTTAACTTTTTATATTAATTTTTGTATTTGCATTTAATTTTTACAAGTTATCTCCCTCCTCCCTCCCTCCTCTCTCTCTCTCTCTCTCTCTCTCTCTCTCTCTCTCTCTCTCTCTCTCTCTCTCTCTGTGCGTGGTGTAATTTGCCAGAGCTGATTCTCTTTCCCCTTCTATCATAAGTGTTCTAGAAATTGGATTCAGGTTGTCAGACTTGGTGACTGTTGTGCCCAAATTCTGAACCCCAAAATCACCAAGAGGCCCATTTAGATGCAAAAGCAAAGAGTCTTTTATTGTAGTTATTTAATGAGCTAAACCCATTAGCTGTGGGAACACCAGACCTTGAGCAGAGACCCACTTCCCCTTCTGCCTGGGAGTAGGCAGCTGTAAGACAATGTTTACTAAAAACAATACAATGCCTGGGGGCATTAAGTTCCTGGAAAAGGCCTGCCTACAGAAACCACCCTGACCTCGACCTTGTCCAAAGACTAACCACCCCTTCTGCCACGCCCAGATCAGTTTCTGGGGTGAGAGCAGAACCAGCCAGGGTAGAGGAGAGAGCAGAAGCTTCTCTGGTGGGAGCCTTTCTTAGGAAGTTTTCTTGAACCTTTTTGGGGCCTGCTTAAAGTTTTCTTTACATCGTTGAACGAGTCTCTGTGTTGTCAATCCCCGACACCCTCCGCACGTTCTCGGACACAGGCCGCGCAGCAGACGCGACAATTGGAGGTCCCACCGAGATCGTGACAGCGAGGTAAGTGGACTGGGTTGTCCCTTTTGCCAGCCAGGGACAGATGGAGGAAAATAGGAAAAGAAACAATGGGAAATAGTCCCTGGAAGTTTAAATTACAGTATCCCGTAAAAAAGTTGCTTGAAGAACAGGGGACTACAACCATGGCAGGCTTTTTAAAATGGATTGAACGAGGGAGCCCATGGTTCATTACTGGGGAAGGCTTAAATGTCCCAGATTGGGAGGATGTTTGCTATGATATTCAGAGAGCCGGGTGTTGGTGGCATACGTCTTTAATCCCAACACTCGGGAGGCAGAGATAGGAAGGAATGAGGCCATCCTGGTCTATAGAGCAAGTTCCAGGACAGCCTCCAAAAGGATAGAGAGAAACCCAGTCTCAAAAAAGAAATGAAAAAAAAAAAAGGGTAAAATAAGAAATAAAATAAAAAATCTCCAGTCTTTCGCCTGATCCACTGAGGTCAGGAAAGTAAAGGGGAACTGAGAGATCTAAAAGGCTAGCCAGTAAGGCTATGTGGATGTGTTAAAAAGGGGTACCAAGCTAGGGGTACCGGATGAAATCTCCAGGCCTTCGCCTGACAAAGGTCAGGAAAGTAAGGGGACCCTGAGAGATTGCCCTCAGATGGGGGGTGGATTGGATTAAATCTCCAGGCCTTCGCCTGACAAAGGTCAGGAAAGTAAGGGGACCCTGAGAGATTGCCCTCAGTTGGAGGGGGGATTGGATTAAATCTCTAGGCCTTAGCCTGACACTAAGGTCGGGGAAAAAGGGGAACCCAGAGATTGCCCTCAATTGGAGGGTGGATTGTGTAAATCTTAAGGCTTTTTGCATGAGGGAACATCCTGGGTTGAAAGTTGGATTGAAAATGGGTGAATAGCCGGGCGTTGGCAGCACACGCCTTTAATCCCAGTACTCGGGAGACACAGGCAGGCAGATCTCTTGAGTTCAAGGCCAGCCTGGTTTATAGAGCAAGTTCCAAGACAGCCTCCAAATAATACAGAAAAAAAAAATTGGTAACAAGCTGGGCGTTGGTGGCGCACGCCTTTAATCCCAGCACTTGGGGAGGCAGAGGCAGGCGTATCTCTGTGAGTTCGAGGCCAGGCTGGACTGACAGCCTCAAACAATACAGAGAAACCCTGATTAAAAAAAAAATGGGTGAAAAAAAATTTGTAACAGTAAAGAGGTACTGGTATTAAGTAAAGAAAAAGACAAAGGTATATACAATGGAAAAATTTTGTTTACATTTAAGTTCTATTTTGTGAGTCATCTCTAAAAACTTTTGGCCAAAAGCTTGGCCTCTCTACCTTGCATCTACAGTTACAAGGAGTAGGTACAGCTGTACCCCATGACTGTAGCTCAAATGGAGG